AGTGGGCAACAATGAACCCTCCTCTATGCACCCTTTTCCCTTTGAGTGGGCACCATCGTTTTGTTCAGCAATAGTAGTTGTTAGGCTCAGTTTAAAATAGCCTAGTTCTTTCAGTACTTATTAAAGACAGCTTCATCTATAGGACAGGGGTCTTCAACGTTTTCTAGGCCAAGGACCCCTAAATTAATGGTGAGATGGAGCAGGGACCCCCTAATTATATATGTTGTATGAAATTGTGTTCTATCAAACTGGCCCTATAATAACTCTATTAAATATGGAGTAATGTAACAAAATAAATTTTGCCTTGGGATTATTAAACTATTTCTGATTCTGATTCCTTGTTGATGGGACAGGTGTTGTGAATGAAACGGTGCCCAACTTTGAAAGAGCTCCTGTGTGTCGCTGAATGTGTGCATTGACGACAGAAAGACATCTTCTGGCACCATTTATCTGTTTACTACAGTGTGTTGAATTCATGTGAATGTGTATTTAAAGACATTTTAATTAGAGGAAAAAATTGCAGGGGGGAAATATAAAAAAAGTCGAATCAACCAAAACTTTCGTGACCCCCATGCAATACCTCTGTGGACCCCCTAAGGGTTGCAGACCCCCTGTTGAAGACCTCTGCTATATGACATCCCTACTACACTGTAGCCTGTGTATTGCAATGTTTTAGTGAGAGATAAGTTGATTAAGATTCTCAGTCATCCAGGTAATAGTTATTCCGTAATTGTTCAGAATCATAGACATGTTTCAGATAACAATGGAACCAAACGACCCATTCATCGGTTACCATTTGCATGTTTCCAAGCGAACAAGGCTTTGTCTAAGACTCAAACTCACTGCGGATCCAGACATTTGAATTGAGAAAGCTTCCTGAAGAGGTGGCGAAACGTCTTCAAATCTTGGAAACCAAGTCCGGTGGATATTTTTTGAACTTTTACGGAAAGTTTTAGTGAGAGAATTGCCTCATCCCTTTATGGCATCCCTTTATCACTCTCCTTCTTGTCCTCTCTTATCTTGTTAAGTGTAAAAAAAACTACTTAATCAAGAATCTAACTTTTTTTTATTAACTTAACTATAAGTGAACTTCATCTTAGATATGAATTAAATAAAAGGCTTTATTGTAGTTGTACAGCAGCTTTGCAGGGTCTCTTTGGAAGCATAAAAGGATCAAAAGAACACTGAGCTTCTAACTCAAAAGCAGCTTCAAAGGTTGCTTTTCCCACATTACACAACAAAAGCAATAAAGTTGGCTGAACTTTCACCTTTTGAAATAATTGACAACAGAAAAGTGTAAGTACTGGCAACTCAATTAATAAAGTTAAAGATTATTACTACCTTGTTTTTCTGAACTGACTTTAATTATGGTCCCAATATTTGACACTCAGTGTTTCAGGTTAATCCAACTGATAAGAGGTTTTAGCCCAAAAAAAGGAAGTTGTCTTTTTTTACAGTGTGGAAATGGAGTTGTTCTGTTTCTACAATTTTACAAGGCATTGATTTAGTTGAATATTCATTTATCTTTTAAACCCTTCCTTATTTTTGTGTTTAGAAAAAGATTTGGGGAACTTAATTAGGATTTTATGTAATAACATAAACAGCCCTGTTGCTCTAAGTCAAGGAACATGCAACATATTTCAGATTTATTGAGGAATTATAAAGTTTGTGGACGTTTGCTGTTGTTATAGTGTCATTCCTGGATTCAATACAATGGACATGAGTTGTATGTTAAGTCAATTGGTTGATGACACCACCGTGTTTTTAAAAAGGAGCAACAGATTCCTATAGCTCTTCAGAACATCAATCTGTTTTCTAAGCACTATAGCTAAACTTAGGTGCAAACCTGTTCAATGCCAAATATTCAAAATGTGCGCGAGAAAAGAAATGCTAGTAAATGCTGTACCTTCTTTGCTTACATTTAATGAAAATCCTGTTTTATGAAAATGCCTTATATTTTGATTGCTCTGACGCCTTTGGTTTTGCTTTTTTGCCGTTTTGTGCTGTTATGAAGCACCTCTTGAAATGTTATGACCAAGAAGTGTTACCTGCTCACAGTGTTAATGTTTCATCTCAATAAAAAAGCCTCTTCCATTGATGTGTATGAGTGCTAACCACTCATTTTCACAGGTCGGAGAGGTGCTACTAATCAGACAGCAGGGCTCATGAGGATTACTCGGACATGTAGGTTCTCCTGGTTCTGCTGGAGATTTCTTCCTGGTAAAAGGGAGTTTTCCTCTCCAATGTCGCTACAAGCATGTTTGATGTAAGGGATTGCCTTCGAGTCAATGGAACGATGCAATCAACTGGTTTTCCTTAGATTGAAAACTTTTAATACTTTTGCCTGTATGATCTGGTTGAATTGTCTATATACGGTAAATTGCCTTGGGATGACGTGGTATGAATTGGCGCTATATAAATAAACTGAACTGAATTTAAATTGAATAGGAATCACGTGAATTATGCACTTTGTGCATAACTGTAACATAAATTTATAAATATTGCAAATCATTAAATTATTATCATATTGAAAAGCTTGTAAAGCCACTCAGAGCCAAAAGGTTCTGAAAACAGCTTAGCTTACCACTGCAGGGGCAGTGGTAAGGCAAATTCAGGGCAAGTATCATTAATAAGTGTTGCTAATATTTCTGCAGCAAAGAAAATATTTGTTTTCAGAGGTTAAAATATTTTGTTTTATTTTGTTGTGGCTCACGATAAAAGAAATTTCTCATGAATAAGATACATTTATTATGTCACAAAACTCTTAGTCATTGCTCTTGTGGGAAGTCTTATATGTGACCATAAGAGGCTGCTAAAACTATTTAAGCAGCTGGAAGCAAATGAAAGGTCTTGTTTTTAATTATCTGCAGCAGCCTAGGTTAGCTTTTTTTGCTTGCTCTAAAATGTAATTTGTAATTATTGTGTTGTAATATTAGTAAATTTGTTGTCTAAGGTTTTCTAATTATGTTTATATAATTAGAACACCCCTCCCCCACACACACACCACTTACATGTACTTCTCAACTATAGCTGTATATAAACTGTTAATATTTATCTGTCATTATTTTTCCTGTATTATAACCCCACTAATATATATGTATATATATAAAATTCATATACTGACTTTCCTTGATAATCTGTATATAGCTTCCATATTTATTAATTATATAGCCTTTTACAATTACAGTTATATGTATTACTATATGTACCATTTATAGTCCATACATACATAGCTTCTTTACACGTCTAAATATTTATGCCCTGTATAGCATTTTTGGATAGATGCAAACTACATGACAATGTCATGACAACAAAGTTGAATTCTATTCTATGTTTAGTGTATAAGACTTTCACACTAACAACCTAGGATCTCTAAAGTGGCATGTGGTGATGAGGTGATAATTATTTGGTGAAACACATATTTTTTTTGTAGCTTGATAAAGTTCTAAAGCTTTTGTATTTATTTCTGTAGTTTTCACGGCATCAAATAAACAAAGCAGAGTTCCCGTATAGAAGAAGCTGTGCTAGTGCTGTCATTTAAGAATAATGCTAAATCTGATACCAATACTTTTTAATATTTATTTTTATTATACCACCAGACTTTGCAAACCCTTTTTTGTGGTTTTTCCTTTGTCCTGCATTTGAACAAAGTTTATAGAAGACTACCTTAATGACATAATTAATATAAAAAGAAAACATAGAAAAAGAGAAAAAAACTTGGATGCAGTTTTTCTCTTAAAAAAAGAAAGTGATACAGTTGATACAGTTGTTTTTTTTATATATATATCTGCCATGATCTCTTCCTATACACCTTGTCTGTGTTTTTTCTAAAACCCCTGTTTCTCTATTTAACCCAGCTGTCTGATTTGTTGTAGTACCTTATGGCTAAAACAAATTCATAAGGCATACACAACTTGGCAAAAGCCTTTTCTGATTCTGATTCGAAAATTCTATTGTGAAATATCGTCCACTACTGTTCATAAAGTGGAAGTGTACCAAATTGAGCACACAGGTAAAATTCTGGAAAACGCTTTCTATACAGAAGTCTTCTACATATTGTGTAGTTATGCAGGAGATACAATTACTATTCCAATCAGTATAGAATATTTTGCATATACATGTTGTATACTTTTATCAAAGTTTCATAATTTTGGGTTTTATATATTTTCGATTTCATAATCAATCACAATCATAATCAAATAAATAGCTTTGATTATTATTTTTTTCAAGTCACATACACGTTTTTTTCACGATTCTTTTTCCATAAAAGAAAAAAAAAACAAATCCAAACATTAGCTTAAAAATGTACTTATTTTTCTTTCAATTTAGCGTAATTTTATTCCTGTTTTTTGATAGATATATATAAAGATAATACGCGTCATAAAAAAATGACTCTGTGCCTTGTCACATTCAGTCATGCGTTTGTGTTGCGCAGCAGCAGTCCCGTTGAATACATAGGGGAACTGACAAGGAATTAGCCAATCATTTCCTTGCTTGGGAATGACGTTCCTCCAGCGCGTTCCAGTTATATTTAGAACCTATATATACTGAAGTCGCCCCCTATGCTTTGTTGACTCTGCAGCAGGCAGCTGTAGTGTCAGTTGGAATGCTGGAGGGCATGAAACTAAAACAGACTGTCCTGTATAGCCACATTACTTTATGTAGGCATCAAAATTAATAGTGGAAAACTGCGTTTGTTTTGATTCCATGACATATAAGTTCAGTTGTAATATTTGGTATTAACTATCCGAATAAACGGCTATTTAAAGTCAGTTAAGATACAATAGTAAATCAAGTGTATAGAGGTGACAAAGCAAAGGGCATTGTGGGTAATATATTCCTACTGATAGGGGTGACCGATTTGCCACAGACCGGTTAAAAATCACCCTGCTATGATTTCTGGGTAAAGTCCGCCCTGCTTGGTATCCGCCCATATTCTCATAACGCAGGCGGCCCTGAGCAGCAGCAGTAGCAGCTAGGCCGAACCGAAGAGACGCTGGATTAGATGGCCTCCACTCTTTCTTTTTTTTTTTTTTCTTCCCTGATTGCTTTATTTTTTCCCGTCTGTATGCTCCCATTTACTTCCGAAACGACACCGAACCGACTGGAATGCGGGCATTTTGGTAAGAAGCAGAAGTAGGAAATGCAGAGATCGAGTAAAACGGGAGGATTATCTGCTTGACTTCTTTGGTCGCTGCTTCAGACGCGGAACTCCTATCGTTAAAGGTAACAAACGGAGAAGATACTTTCAAGTGGAGGCATTTTACTTTTTACTACTTCTTTCTTTTTTTTTCTTTTTACTAATAAACACAGACTGGTGCACATGTCACGAAAACGGTGAGCTGCAACGTTGTAGTAAAACCATTTTAATTTTAGTCCAAACTACGCCCAATTGTTAACCTACCGCTTGGCCCTGCATTGCAGACCTAGCTAGCCCCTCAATGGCGGCTTCCTTTCCGCTTTGAATGAATGATAGGACTTTATCCCGGAACATTTATCAGAGAATAGCCTATAAAGGCATTTTTATCCTTAAACGTAAAGGAATAAATGGCAAAAACCGGGTTTAGCTTACTTTTAGGGTTGTAAGCTAACTCGGTGGCTAGGCTAGCTAGCAGACAGACTGATCGCAGGATTTAAATGAATTTACTTTCGACTTTAAACCCTAGACACATGTTTTTCTCTCCGGGCAGCACACCGAGCTTTTACTGAACTTTCAGTCCAGTTCGAACATGTTCAAACGGCTCGTTTAGAAAAAGAAAATGTTTATTTGGCTGCTAATCAATAAGCCCTCTGATCAGATTGTGTGGGTATTTTTTCCAGTATCTGCTATCTGCTTCATACAGGCATATAGGTCTGCACCAAAAATTCTAAAGCACAAATAAAAATAATAATCATATGATAACATGATATAGTTGCAAAAGTTAAAATGGGAAAATTACGATTATTCTTAATGCTTCTGAAAAAGCTGTTATAGTATCTCTTATAATCCATCATCATCACAATAATGATGTAAACACTATCAAATTAATCTCAATTTATATATATTGTATTATATTATAATGTACCTTTCAACCTTCAAAAAATATATTTCACAACTTTTATGATTATATGTTGACTTCCAACTAGTGGAATGACCCCCACTGTCATGGCCTGAGGGGTATACATTGCTTTCCCCAGCACTAAGCTTCCTTGAGGAGGGTGGCAGAGTTACCCTGCTATACAAAACGACTTCAGACAGCATTACAGCATACCTCACTTCTCCCTTTCCCCATTCTTTATAAAAGCCTCTTTTCCACCAAAAATAGCGGTTTAATGCATGTTTTTCAATCATGGATCGACCCGCTAATATTCGGCATTAAGCTCGCTTCCCACTGGCTAAAAGAAGCTGGGTCTAACGCCTCGCTGTCTGGCGACACCATCACGCAGTGTTAGCATTGATGTCACCAGTGCGACAGAAATCAGGAAAGTAAACAATGGAGAGCAACATGGAATGAAGCCAGGGCTTAGTAGGTGTGCTGTTTTGTTTCCCAATTTTGTCTCCGAATCTCTCTCACCAGAGCCGCGCCATGTTTATCGATTGTAAACTGAGCTGTTTCGGCTTGTTACGTCAGAAGCAACTGACCTAACAAGCGGCGTGTTGACATCTGTCCGTTATGCGCGATGGTATCATGTAATTGAGCGTGTCGACCCAGGTCTGGTGTTCCAACGGCATGCCGATCAGCCTAGGCGATTTTAACTTGGGTCACTTTGACTCATTTGACCCGGTTAGACACGTGTCAGTGAGCTGTTCCACTGTTCCACTGTTGCCACTAAAAACCAATTGTTCCCGGGTTTAAACAGGTTTTTCGGCCATTGGTGGTAAAAGAAAGAAGTCAATGCCACAAAATTTCTCTTAGAGACTGTGGCTGTGTCGGAACATCATCCCTATCCCCTATATAGAGCTATATGTAGTGGTTGCAGCATTTTATAAGTTTCCGAATGTCAAGTGGATAAAAAAAGTAGTGGCCATCTGTCCGAACGGTCAGATAACTGAGTTCACTATATACTCCCCACTCTATATAGTGATGGAGGAGTTTGGGCGGACGGTTGGACACAGACTGAATAGTTGTGCAAATTGTGCCGGGTTGATATTCAGGCATGTTTGTCAGCATGTGCTCCCCAGTTGATAAAAGCTATGCCTTTAAGACAAGTTAAAGGTATAGTGGAGGATTTTGGTGAACTTTGTAAAAACACCCGCCCTCTCCAGTGCACACGCACCACCCTGTAATCGCTCCAGTGAGAGAACGCCTATTAAACCATTTTTCCCCGTGCGTGCTCTGTTGCCGTTTGCATCGCTCGTACAAGCTTTCTTTCCAAAAGAAGATTTGCAATTTTTCAAGTATATCAGACTCTCCAGCGGTAAGTGAAAATGGAGCGGAGCACGTTGGGCGGCCTTGCGTAAACATATCAACAGAATAATTAACAATTAGGAGGACCACTTATTTTGATGATCCACCTGGAAAAAGAACATCCTCCACTATACCTTTAATAAAGTAACTTGAATATTGCGAAACGGTCCGTGAGGACAAGAACTTTTTGCACCTAACAAAGTCTAAAGCAAACAATAAAATGAAAGACATATTAAAATATTTGGCCTTTTACATCTCTGCTTGTTGAATCGATGCCTCTGCCATCTGTCTCTCTTACTATCTACTTTCATTAAGTGCAAAGATTTAAAAAAATAATCAAAATTTTCATGAAAGCATAGGGCAGATTTGTATCCTCGGCTGCAGTGTTTTCTTGCATTCCAACCATCCTGTCTGATCTGTTAGAGATAAGCTTGTACCTCATATCATTAGACATAAGTATTTACGGTATGTCTGATATGCTGCTGATAGTTTTGGGGAGATAAAAGTGCATACCGCAACACCTGTCAAACTTTATTGTTTCTGATATTTTCCTGTTTTAATTGTAGCTTTAATATTGAGTAGAGAGTTCAACCCTGGCTGCAGGCTGTAGACTTTCTACAGTTTACACTGTATCTTCTGTAAAGGCCAAGCGCCTCTATTGACGGATGCTCCACAAAGCAGGCAGACAATAGAGAGTTTCACAGTCACTTGTCAATTTTAGAGCTTTAATGTAATGTCATTGATTTCAGCCTGGGGTTAGTTCCTGCTATTGGTTCTTTGCAATTTTAGAAACGGGACTGAATCAGGAGCTGGAGAAAGATTTGAATACATGTGCAAACAATATGTTAATTGTATTTTAGATGACTTCCCGGTTTCTAATCTGAAGTCTATTTGTTTGGCCTTCCACATTCAGTTTGAATAAGCAAAATGGGAAATATAGAAATTTATTGTTTGATTAAAGATTTTTTTTTTTTTTAAGATTTTTGAATCCTAGATCTTAAACTCTAGGTCTTTATTTTCTGTGGTTTGATACTACATGAGTCTGTTTCTTAATTCTTGTTTTTTATTTATATTACAAAAAAAAATATTTAAAACTCAGAGTAACCTTTGAACCAAATTTTAGCCCCCCATATCCTTATAGGTTTTTTAAATCTCTAAACTGAACCCAAGTTTCTTAACCTTTTACATTTCCTATTCTTTTGTGTCTGTGTTCAATAGAGAAATTGCTGATCACAGTCTGTGGTTTTCACTAAAAACCTGCAATTGTCGATACCCCTCCTTTTAGTTTATTCAACTATTAGACGTTTCTGCTAAAGCCTAAAAAAGGGGAAATGGAATTTTATATCTGAACTGAAGCCCGATTTAGCATTTCTTTGGTCAGGATTTCTGAAAAACGCATTTACATATTGTTTCAAATTAAAAAATATATCTTGAGAATTGAGTGAGGGAAAGTATGGAATGATTAAATAGTTTGAGCCCCATTAACATGTTCCTAAATTTACTGAATCTGCAAAATCTCATTCTGAATAACCAGTATTGTGTAATTTATAGAGGTTGATTTTATAGAAGTTGATTTTTATAAATGTATTTTTCTATTTCAATGCTTCTTGTTAAATACTAAAATGGGCGTTAAAAAACCCGTGTAAAGTGGAATATATTATTCCATATTTTTATGTAAGTGTCGTCCTTTTTGTTTCTGTGTAAATTGGATGAATTAAATTTTTTTTTCTCTTCTTCCCAGGTAAATCATGACTGAATATAAGCTGGTTGTGGTGGGAGCTGGAGGCGTTGGCAAGAGCGCGCTTACCATCCAGCTCATTCAGAATCATTTTGTGGATGAATATGACCCGACTATTGAGGTAAAGTAAAAAAAAAAAACTAAGTTATTTCTGGATGTGTTTTTGTAAAAGAAAATTTTGCCAAGTTCCCAGTATGTTTGCATATCAGGGAAAAAAACGGGGAAAAGCTAAAGCAAAAAAAAACAACAAAAAAACAGGAATTAAGAACATGCTAAACTGGTTTAAAGCTTTGAAAGGACACTAAACAGGTTTATAATGACTTTTTATGTCTGGCACTCTGCCCAGTTTCCCGAGTGCCAACCTTTTCTGTGCGAACACTCTAATCACGCTTTCAATCAATTATTGATGTGCAGTGGCAGGTTTGAGCACGCCTATACATTACTTAGATACAAGATAGCATCTGAGAGTATTGCTTCACATGGGAGCAGAAGGTAATTATTTCTGGCTGAGTACGGCCATTGGCGACGAACAACAATACTATTGTGACGCTGACTGGAACGTTGTTGTAATTTGACCTCTTTCCAGAAAATACAGCACACTCGTACAGCTGGAGATCGGTGCTAATTAACTTTTTGTCTGTAGAAGAATAGTTCAGAGTTGATTAGAAGACCTGATCAACTTTTCCAGCAACTGGCTTTGTTTATTCAACCATGAAAACTTTATGATTGTAAAGTGAAACATTCCCTAATGTGGCAAAGACGTCTCTGTGTCTTGATTTTAGATTTTTGATCATTTGTTCTTTTTATTACATCTTCATCCTTCAGGATTCCTACAGAAAGCAGGTGGTTATTGATGGAGAGACGTGTCTGCTGGACATCCTGGACACTGCAGGTCAAGAGGAGTACAGCGCCATGAGGGATCAGTACATGAGGACAGGGGAGGGATTCCTCTGTGTCTTTGCCATCAACAACACCAAGTCCTATGAAGACATTCACCACTATAGGTGAGTTAGGACAGATATAAGAAAGACTGAAGATTGCAGATTGAGGAAACCATTGTACATATTTATATAGCACTATGTGCAAGTATGTGCTATACAAATACACTTTACTTGCTTAAACCTGGCAAAAAACATTAGTCCAATATCTAAAATTGTTCTATTATGGTTCTCAGGTTCCTTTACAAAAAAAATAGAAATGTATAGAACCACAAGTCATATATAATTCAATTCAGTTTTTTTATATACCGACAATTCACAACACATCATCTCAAGGCACTTTACAATTTAAACAGGTCATACTGTGAAATTTATTCAAAGTTTTCTATCTAAGGAAAACCAGTTAATTGCATCGACTCATTGACTCTTAGGCAATCCCTCACAGCAAGCATTCTTGTAGCGACAGTGGAGAGGAAAACTTTCTTTTAACAGCAAGAAACCTCCAGCAGAACCAGACTAGGTGTGAGCGGCCATCTGCTGAGGCCAAGTGGGGTTTAAGGAAATAGAAGCAGACAGAAAAAGAAGCAGAGATGTGAAAGGCGGCCCTGTCCAGGGAACACACAGCCAGGCAGACGAGTTACGAGCCAGCTCCCACGTCACAGGACGAAGAGAGCACTTTGGGCCAGTCACAGTCAGAGGTACAAGACTACACTGCAAAAAACGCAGAGCTCAAACATCTAACATCTATATACTTGGTTGCAGTTCATTGTTTTTTTTTATTATTATTTTTTTTTAAGATCTAGATTACTTCGAATATAATTGTATAATCCAATGATAATGAGTTCAATCTCTTCTTTATCTTGAAAAATCAGAGGTGCAAAATATCAGAGTAGGATTACAATGCAGTCTTAAATGTAAGCATTGCTCACTTTTTTTTGTTGTTTTTTTTTTTTTTTTTGTTTGTCTAGAGAACAAATCAAACGGGTGAAGGACTCTGAGGATGTCCCAATGGTGTTGGTGGGAAACAAGTGTGACCTCCCATCCCGAACGGTGGATACAAAGTCGGCTCAGGATTTAGCACGCAGCTTCGGCATCCCCTTTATTGAGACCTCAGCCAAAACGAGACAGGTATGTGTTCACCTGGGGCTGCTATTGGATTCCTCTCACGCTCAAATTAGCTTTGATTCTAATTCTTAGAAGAAAAAAAAGTCAAGAAATTAGAACAATCTAATTTTATCAAATGGGGCAAAAAAAAAGAAAATTTCCCTTTAATTTTGGCTACGAAATTTGACTGTATCATGTGGTGGTGTTGACTTGTGCCATTTACCCTCTCTCTTTTTAATGATCTTTTTATAATTATGTCACTGGGAAATTTACCGGCTAATGTTTTGAGCCTCATTAGGTCCCTTTTTTTTTTTGGTTAATTGGATTTTTTTATTTATGGGTGATAATGTGATCATTGCATGCCAGTTGCTCATGGAAATGGGAAATTATATCGTCATTACGACCACCTGCAAAGCACCCTTGGTGATAAATAATCAGCGAATCAGTTAATTTGTGTCAAGTTGTCTGCATGAAAGGACAAACTGTCTGTAATTACTTGGAGGGTTAACGATTCTGCTTACTGGTCACTGTGACTTGGTGCTGGAAGATTTGCTGTCCAGGTGTGGGTGTGCGTGTGTGAGCATGGCCTTAGGACACTGGTTGGCTGATGGAGTGATCTCCAATTGTACAGGTGCTGGTCATAAAATTAGAATATCATGAAAAAGTAGATTGATTTCAGTAATTCCATTTAAAAAGTGAAACTTGTATACTATATTCATACATTACATACAAACTCATATATTTCAGATGTTTATTTTGTTTAATTTTGATGATTACAAATGACAACAAATGAAAATCTCAAATTCATCATATCAGAAAATTAGAATATTACTGAAGACCAATAAAAACAAAGGATTTATAGAAATGTTGGCCAACTGAAAAGTATGAACATGAAAAGTATGAGCATGTACAGCACTCAGTATTTAGTTGGGCCTCCTTTGGCCTGTATTACTGCAGCAATGCGGCGTGGCATGGAGTCGATCAGTCTGTGGCACTGCTCAGGTGTTATGCTAGCCCAGGTTGCTCTAATAGTGGCTTTTAGCTCTTCTGAATTGTTGGGTCTGGTGTATTGCATCTTCTTCTTCACAATACTCCATAGATTTTCTATGGGGTTAAGGTCAGGAGAGTTTGCTGGCCAATTAAGAACAGGGATACCATGGTCCTTCAACCAGGTACTGGTAGCTTTGGCACTGTGTGCAGGTGCCAAGTCCTGTTGGAAAATGAAATCTGCATCTCCAAAAAGTTGGTCAGCTGCAGGAAGCATGAAGTGCTCTAAAACTTCCTGGTATGTGGCTGCGTTGACCCTGGACCTCAGAAAACACAATGGACCAACACCAGCAGATGACATGGCACCCCAAACCATCACTGACTGTGGAAACTTTACACTGGACTTCAAGCAACGTGGATGAAGTGCCTCTCTTCTTTTCCTCCAGACTCTGGGACCTTGATTTCCAAAGGAAATGCAAAATTTACTTTCATCAGAGAACATGACTTTGGACCACTCACCAGCAGTCCAGTCCTGTTTCTCTTTAGCCCAGGCAAGACGCTTCTGACGCTGTCTGTGGTTCAAGAGTGGCTTGACACAAGGAATGCGACAGCAGAAACCCATGTCTTTCATACGTCTGTGTGTGGTGGTTCTTGAAGCACTCACTCCAGCTGCAGTCCACTCTTTGTGAATCTCCCCCACATTTTTGAAGGGGTTTTGTTTCACAATCCTCTCCAGGGTGCGGTTATCTCTCTTGCTTGTACACTTTTTTCGACCACATCTTTTCCTTCCCTTCGCCTCTCTATTAATGTGCTTGGACACTGAGCTCTGTGAACAGCCAGCCTCTTTAGCGATGACCTTTTGTGTCTTGCCCTCCTTGTGCAAGGTGTCGATGGTCGTCTTTTGGACAACTGTCAAGTCAGCAGTCTTCCCCATGATTGTGTAGCCTATAGAACTAGACTGAAAGACCATTTAAAGGCTTTTGCAGGTGGTTTGAGTTAATTAGCTGATTAGAGTGTGGCACCAGGGGCCATCAATTTTGAACCTTTTCACAATATTCTAATTTTCTGATATGATGAATTTGAGATTTTCATTTGTTGTCATTTGTAATCATCAAAATTAAACAAAATAAACATCTGAAATATATGAGTTTGTATGTAATGTATGAAGATAATATACAAGTTTCACTTTTTAAATGGAATTACTGAAATCAATCTACTTTTTCATGATATTCTAATTTTATGACCAGCACCTGTATTTTTCCTGGTCCCTGACCTGGGCTGAATCACGGCTCACGCGGTGGGGGGGAATTGATGTTGCAGGAATAATTTCTTTGAGCTTTGGTCGTCTAATTCTACCTTTGTGTTGGTTATTTCTGTCCACACGGTGTTGGTTCTGATGGGCTACTGTCTATTTCCTGAAGAAATTATCAATAATTTCATTTGATTCTTCTGGGAAAGATAATGTAATGTTTTGCACAATACATTAAATAATCTAACCTTCACTCATTCCCATGAGTCAAAGGGGTTTTCACCTTAGGATTCCAGTGCAAGACTAGGACTGATGCCAGGGCTTGCTCTAATTGGTTCAATGAATTAATTCTGTAATTGGCTCAAAGCTGCACCTCAAAGATGCATCCTTACATGATTTAGGGCTTAAACATTAAAACTTCAGACTAAATCAGAGGTCTTCAACAGGGGGTCAGCGACCCCTAGGGGGTCCCCAGAGGTACTGCATGGGGGTCGCGAAAGTTTTGGTTGATTACACTTTTTTTTTTTTATTTCGAGAGAATTTTGTCCCTTTTTCACAAATCGGTGAAGGCTACAGGGAATAAATCAAAACCATAATTTTACATCAGTATTAGGGATTCTCATTTAATTTTACTCTCATTATAGTATTAATTGGATAAAGGTAAGGTGAGTAGGTTAGTTATAGGGTTAAAAGTAAACTTTAATTTGGCTCTGAGTTCAAGTAATTGACCTAAAAAGGTTTTAATAAAGATAATGAATCCCTTAAAACAAACGCTAGATAACCGCTTTTAAAATGATAAAAGCTGGTTTAACAACACTTTAATAAAAGCCCTAACACTAATTGTTGTTTAAACAGCATCTTCAGTTCAAAATGTATCTAAAAAGTACCAGTTCTGGTTTGGCGCTGGAATTATTTCTCCTACTACAGGCTTGGAAGATGTTTTCTTCTCTTTTTTTAATTTCTCTTTTATAATTGTTTTGGATAGACTTAGTGATCGATACATGTCAGTCCATTGATCATCCCTGATCTAATTAACTCCATAGTCCACTTGTCAGAGCTACGAATTAGGGATGCACTGATTCCTCAGCAGATCTACAAAAAGGCTTGTTTCAGCTTGATGGACAAATAGTAAAATAGACTTCTTTTTGGTATGAAATACAATTATTATTTTTTTGTTATATCATTAATAGAGGTGAACAAATTGTCTTAATTGGGGCTGCTACAGAAAAGTATATTTAAACACTGTATCCAGATACAAGTTTTATTTGGCATGGTATGGATACTAAAGACAAGTGTCATTTGCATATTTTTGCAATTCTTGATTTAAGATTTCTAGATTATTTTCTAATTAAAAGAACCTCAGACAACCTTAAAGTATTACCAAATTCTTATAATAGTTTTTTTAAGCCTTTATTTACACAGATTTAATTAGTATGTCTGCTCTGAAAGCCTGTGCCAAGTAAGTTTTTATTATTTTTCAGCAAATGGCAAGTTTTAGTCTTTATTTTTCACTTAACTATTATTTGAATACTGAATTAGTTTACAATTATTTTAGTAATTAAGTTTTCCCGAATGATCTTATTTGGTCCTTTCCATAAACTGATTTAGTTTTGAAGCCGAAGAATTTTCTTATGTGAAGAACACTTATGCGTCTTTTAAAAAATAGTCAGATATAGTACCAGCTCTGAATAAAGGCCACAGCCCTGGAAGAAAACTGTCCATTAGTGTGTGCAGTTCTCTTTCCAACTATAAACGATTTGCTAAATTTTCCTCAAAATTGTATCCAAATGAGTTTATTAGTTGCGTCGAGATCATCAGCAGATTATCATCTGAAAAGCCCTAAAGTGACTGAACGTTTCAGCAGGCTAGCATTGCATGTAATTGGATGTTTTTAACCATATTGAAAGTATTGCAGACAAAATCAAGGAGCTATAATCTGGATTTTGATCGGGATGTTCCTTTAATATATTACGATTTGTACATACAGACCTACTAACATTAGCGGAACATCTCGGAGATTTCTTTAAAACTTTTATGTGAGAAATTCATATGTTGTGTACATATTTGTATTTATAATAGGGCTGCTCAGTATTAGAAAGTCATATGATGGTGATTTATTTGATCCTCCCATCACTCACACATTGACATTTAGCATTTTGGGCAATGTCATTTCAGTCTGGTGTTAGCATCTGTTAGCATCTGCTGCTGTAAGTCTCTAAAAGTGGACATATTGTAGGTTAGGGGAAAAAAACTCCCAACTCTGGGAACATATTGATATATTAGCCAACAAGTGTTCGAGTCTGTACCCTTATAATGAGATTTATTGTTGTGCCTGTAGTTAACATTGCAGGGGGAAAAAGTCTTTTTAAGCTCACATTTAAAAAATCAGATGAAGCCTAGAAATCTGCAATCAGTGCATCTCTTCTTTGAAGAAGCCTTTATAAAATTTAAAGCAATATGGTTATTTGATTGTAATCAAACTATCAACATTCTGAATAAAATACTGATTTTTATTTCTGTGCTCATATTTTAAATAATCCCTGCTTTTAAAGCCTGCAGGAGGAGAATAATTCATAATCAAAGAATAAAAATGGCGGCGCCCCTGGCGGCAGCGGCTGGCATACAGCTCCGACCAACTTGCGGAGATTTTCATAAAAATATACCGCCAAACCCGCTGCAAACTGCTTATCTACCTAGCAGATCATCACTGGACCGCCAGCGCCTGCTGGAGTTACGATCATGCAGTGTATTTGGACTTGTAACCACCACTACGCTCGACTGTTTACGTGACTCCGGAGTGCTCCGGGATCAAGCCCCGGAGGCCTGCGATGCAGCGGACCCGTCGAGCGGCTCACGCTGGAGGAGAGCCAAGCGAAAGCGGTGCAGCCGGCCGAGGAAACGCGGCTGTCGCGGAGGTTTAGCAGCCAAGCTAAAGGCTAACCCCCACAGACCATCGCTTCCATCCATCCTGCTCTCCAACGTACGTTCACTGGATAACAAAACTGACCATCTTCAACTCGAGCTCTCAGCAAAGAGGGAGTTTAGGGACTGTTGCGCTCTCATTCTGACAGAGACGTGGCTCACATCATCAACCCCGGACAACGCCATTAGCCTGGAGGGGCTAGCTACTTTCCGCGCCGACAGAAACAAAGAACTCAGCGGTAAGAGCCGAGGAGGCGGACTCTGTGTTTACATCAATAACAACTGGTGTAAAAATGCTAGAATAGTCTCAAGTTTTTGCTCTCCGGACATAGAGCTTCTGACTGTTAGCTGCAGACCCTTTTACCTGCCCAGAGAGTTCACTGTTGTTACCATCACAGCGGTGTATGTCCCCCCCAGCGCTGATACAAAGGAGGCCATGAGTGTTCTCTATCGGACTGTCTCTGAGCTGCAATCTACACACACAGAGGGCGTTTTCATCATTGCTGGAGATTTTAATCAGGCGAATATGAAAACTGTTCTCCCTCATTTTTATCAACACGTGGATTTTGCTACTCGTGGAGAGAACACTCTGGACTTAGTTTATACAAACATAAAAGACGCATTCAGAGCAGCCCCCCGCCCCCACATCGGCTCCTCAGACCACCTTTCTGTGATGCTAATTCCTGCATACAGACCCCTGCTGATCAGAGCAAAACCTACAGTGAAGCAGGTGAGGGTCTGGACGGAGGGGGCCATGGATGCACTCCAGGACTGCTTTGAATGCTCTGAATGGGACATGTTCAAATCAGCAGCAACATATGACAACAAGATCAATGTTGATGAGTACGCCATGACTGTTTCAGCCTACATCAACCACTGCATCGAGGACGTCAGCACAACAAAGACCATCACCACCCGAGCCAACCAACGGCCCTGGATGACTGAGGAGGTCCGCCACGCGCTAAAAGCACGGAACTCAGCCTTCAAGTCTGGTGACAAGGAGGCACTGAGGACAGCTAGAGCCACCCTGAACCGTGCCATCAGGTTAGCAAAGCGGAACCATAACCAGAAAATCCAGCATCTGTTCCACGACGCCAACAACACCAGGAGCATGTGGCAAGGCATACGGGCGATCACAGACTACAACACGCCCCCTGCCCCGGTGGATGAAGTTGATGCTGACTTCCTAAACGGACTAAATAACTTCTTTGGGAGGTTTGAGGCACTAAATCGCACTCCAGCAGTGAAGGCTGTCCCACATCAGGAAGAGGAGGTTCTCTGCCTTGACACAGCCGACGTGTGGAAGACTCTGAGGAGGGTCAACCCGCGGAAGGCCCCAGGTCCCGACAACATACCTGGGCGGGTGCTCAAGGAGTGTGCAGGTCAGCTAGCTGGTGTCCTCACGGACATTTTTAACACCTCGCTGGAGCAAGCCACAGTGCCAGCATGCTTCAAGTCTGCCTCCATCATCCCAGTGCCAAAGAAACCTCAAGTCACCTGCTACAACGACTACCGGCCCGTCGCACTGACTCCCATCATGATGAAGTGCTTTGAAAGGCTGGTAAAGGAACACATCGTCTCCAGTCTCCCCCCAACACTCGACCCGTTCCAGTTTGCCTACCGGCGAAACCGCTCCACTGAGGACGCCATCTCCTCTGCTCTTCACCTGAGCCTGGCCCACCTGGAGGAGAAGAACACCCACGTGCGGATGCTGTTCCTGGACTTCAGTTCAGCGTTTAACACCATCATCCCACAGCACCTGGTGGGAAAGCTGGAACATCTGGGCTTCAACACACCCCTTCGAAACTGGCTGCTGGACTTCCTCACCAACAGACCTCAGTCAGTCCGGGTCGGTCAGAACACCTCTGATGTCATCACCCTCAGCACGGGCTCCCCTCAGGGCTGCGTCCTGAGCCCCCTGCTGTTCACCCTGATGACATATGACTGCGTCCCCAGGTTCACCACCAATCACATCGTGAAGTTTGCGGACGACACCACGGTGGTGGGCCTCATCAGGGACGACAACGACCGGGACTACAGAGAGGAGGTGGAGCAGCTGGTGGACTGGTGCAGTGAAAACAGTCTGATCCTGAACGTGGAGAAGACGAAGGAGATCATCGTCGACTTCAGGAAAAACCGCCCCCACCATGCTCCACTGCTCATCAACAGCTCAGCTGTGGAGGTGGTCAGCAGCACAAAGTTCCTGGGGGTGCACATCACGGACAACCTCACCTGGACTGTAAACACTTCATCTCTAGTGAAGAGGGCACAGAAGCGCTTGTACTTTCTGCGGAGGATGAGGAGAGCCCGCCTGCCCCCGCCCATCCTCACAACCTTCTACAGAAGCACCATAGAGAGCGTTCTGACCAGCTGTCTCTCTCTGTGGTGTGGAGGCTGCAGAGCTTCTGACTGGAAGAATGTGAGGAGGGTGGTGAGGACAGCGGAAGGAATCATTGGGGCTCCTCTTCCCTCCATTAAGGACATTTCATCACAGCGCTGTGTGTCCCGAGCCCGTAATATCATCAAAGACCCCTCACACCCCCACCATGGACTGTTCTCCCTGCTGCCCTCTGGAAAGAGGTTCCGCAGCATCCGCTGCAGATCCACCAGGTTGTGCAACAGCTTCTTCCCCACTGCCATCAGACTGTTGAACCTTTGATCCACAATCCGAACTCTGCACCTATTGCACATTATCGGGCATCAAATGCTGCTGAACTTTTAACTTTTAGCCCTTTAAATTGTTCATCTCATTGTATTTTTCAATAACGCATTTTTTGCACAAATGCCATTTTGCACTGAACCACTGCAACTTGCACACTGTCTCTTATCCTCTGCACTGTTCACACTTTGACCACTGCTGCACTTTTTGTATTTTTCTATAACTCGTGCCATTGTGAAATATCAATGCAACGTTCATAAGCTGTATGTAACGCAATTTCGTTCTGTATGCACCCTGTGCATACAAAATGACAAATAAAGAAGTCTAAGTCTAAGTCTAAGTCTAAGATTAGCATGGCAAACAATGCAACACACTACATCTAAGATGAAAAAGAAAGAAATAATGTTGTCTGTGGTGTATAAGACGATGTTGTTCCACTGCCTTCCTCTACATTGAGGAAAGTTGTGTCTTGTACTGCAGAGAGTTGAAGATGCCTTTTACACTCTGGTACGGGAGATCAGGCTGTACCGGCTCAATAAGATCAGCAAGGAAGAAAAGACTCCAAAGTGTGTCAAGCTTAAAAAGTGTGTTGTGATGTAAAAAGGGGTAAGTGTACACGGCCGCGCATCCACCAGCTCTGTTTGTGTTTGTGGGGAATCATGGAGGAGCCAGTGAACGGTGACGCTTCATGTGTTCTTACAGCTTTAGCTGCTGGTTTTTCTACAAGGGCTGTGGTGGCACTCTAACAGGAGGCTGATTTCTTCTTCTTTTAGTGTCTGTCTGCATCCAAAGGGATTATTATCCAAGGTCATTTTCACACTGGATTCATTCTCTGAGTCTGAAAAACTTAATCCTTTTAACTGGGCAGCGTTGGGAAAATTTCGTCCATTTACATTTTCTGCTGTTATTATTAAACATTTAAAAACTATGAAAAAATTAACCACAGTGCTAACATTAGTTCTCTGCTTCATTTAAGCACATTACAACATTATCACAGTAAAGAATAGCCTTTGAAGGGGCTTTAGTAAATCCCCGTTTCTATAATCATAACAAATGAAGACATTTAGATTGGAGGAAGAATCCTGCTGAGGTAAAATCTTTCATAACACGAGACATTCAGTGTGAAAGTGTCCAAATGGGCAGAGAGGGAGATGAGCAATGAAGTTTGTGCTTTTTAATAAGGATATAACTGTGAAAGTGGGATCTAATTATGTTGAAATGCTTAACGTGTCTTAATAAACTGTCAGATTTAGGTGTGTTATTGTTCTGCTTTTTATTGCAAAAACCTGAGCTGGTATACAGCTGTTTATCAGTGTTTTTTTAAGAATGTTTTTATTGATTTATTTTTTAGATGGCTACATGTAGAGCGCCATCTCCTGTGTGTGGCATCAGCAGATACTAGCTGTAATAACAAAAGACTTTCCCTTCATGACTGAGACGAAAAGCAGAGAGCTGAACTGATCCTGGGGTTTAAAAACATTTAGAGTATAAGTAATAATGACACCTGGTGTTTACAATTGGAACTACCGTTAAGAGGCTAAATTCAAGAGGACTACCGGTATTAGGTAAATTGCTTTGAAAGATGCCAAGACCTCTTATGTATTGTTGAGACTCTTTCTTTTCTGCTTCCATGTTTACAGGCTGATATGAAGAGGAAAAGCAGTTCTGTCATGTTCTAAGTCAGCAATTATTGTGATGTTCAAAAGGAGGGAATTGCACTTCTGTTACTGCAACTACTGTTTGCTTTGCTGTTGTGGGCAACAGAGGTGGCTTTTACTTTATGATGGATTTTATATCTGTACTTAACCCATTTTTCAAACCTGGTAGAAGTATTTATATCCCCTGTGTGAAAAGGCAGCCCTCCCTTTTCACAAATGCCACAGAACAGCACGCTACAATGTAGCTGGCTAACGTCACACACACCTGCACACACCTCCATACACAAGCGCGCACACACGAATCTGAGACTTTCACTCGCGGAGCCGGCAACCGCATATGAGAGCTCTTTGTCACGCCAACACTCCAAAAACTTTCAGTACTTACCTGAGTGACCAGCCATCGCAGCGTTCGGTGAGGTACCCGCCGATATCGCTCCATAATCCCATACCGCTCCAGTTTCCACACATTGCACACACAAACACAAACGCGCACACACACTTCCTGGTCCGACAACTTCTCCTCCCCTGGGAAACACGAACTGTGGGTAGGGGAATAATTTATGTCTCATTCAGCCAATCAGAGGCTTTGATTACCTGACGGGGTGAAACTGAGTGTTTGATGCATTTAAAATGCTATTTTTAGGTGTAATGTTGATGTAATGAGAAATGTGTTTTATTGAATGTATGCATACAGTAATGTGGTTAATGTAGATTGCTTAGGCATGTAATTTAACAGTGAAAATGAAGTAGTGCATTGTTTCAGCTGTACCTTTTTTTTCTTGCATAGTGGTCTCATCCAATCAGTGATTTAGTCCAGTAGGCATGCAATTTGCCAATTATGTCTGTTTGTATAAAAACCCTACTTTTTCCTCAGTTTGTGGGTTGGATGCTAGGAGAAAGGTTGGTGCCTGAGACTGTCGTGTTCAAAAGAGGTATTGCTCTCTGTGCTTAGATTTATTATTAGTTATTATTTTGAACAACCATCGTGTTGATTTTGTTTATGTTTTGGAAAGTCTTTTTGTTACTGCACTTTTTGGTTAGAGCACTGTAAATAAATATACACCACGTCATTTGCACTGGACCTCCTTGTTGAGTGCTTTCATTCCATTTGGGTGGCCATCCTGCAGTGAAACCTGAGCCAGAGGGCTCACCAGTTTCACATTTGGTGTCAGAAGTGGGATCGTGGCGCCGACACGAAAGTCAACAAGAAAGAAGTGCAAGCAGAGTGAGATGGCTTACAGGAAGTTGAAGAAGACCAACCCCCTGGGTCCAGGTGAGGAAGAGGTCGAAGGAGCCATAGGAGGAGAGCAACAAACACAACCTGATGACGACGACAGGCCGCAAGAAGCACTCAACCTTTCAGACCTGTACAGCCTACTGCAACGGTCCATGCGGACGCAGGAGAAAGAGAGGGAGAAACAAGAGCAGCGGTGGCGCAACATTCAAGTTCAACTGGGTAACGTCCGTGATGAGCTGGAGGACCATCGCAGGAGTTCCAGGGGAGGGCAGCAGCAGCCAGATGGAGCAGCGGCAGCGACCCTCCCAGCAGCAGCGGCGCATCCAGCGGCAGCGACCCTCCCAGCAGCAGCGGCGCATCCAGCGGCAGCGACCCTCCCAGCAGTGGCGGCACATCCAGCGGCAGCAGCCCTCATGACAGTAGCAGCAGCACCGGCACATCCAGTGGCAGCAACCCTCCAAGCAGCACCGGCAGCAGGGTATCCAGCACCACCACCAGCCCCATGGATGCCAGCGGCAGGCCCATCGATCCTGTTTCCTGATCCAGCAGCACCAGCGCCAGCAACATGGACCAGAGCAGCAGTGCCGAAGCTAGAGGACAGCGATGATGTGGAGCAATACATGACCACCTTTGAACGTCTAGCCACAGCCTACAGGTGGCCCTTAGCCCAGTGGGCTACATTCCTTGTACCGTACCTGTCTGGCAAAGCTCGGGCTGCATACGTCGCCATGGATCCTTATGAAGCCGTGGACTACTTCAAGGTGAAGAATGCCATCTTAGCCAAATATGAGATAAACGCCGAAAGCTACCGAACACGGTTCAGGGAGCCGAACATTCAATCTGGTGAGACGCCGAAAGAATTCTACAACCGGCTGAAGGACTTGTACCAAAAATGGATTCGCCCAGCGGAGCACACTGTGGAAGAAATCGGTGAAGTGCTCATTCTGGAACAATTCTTGCGCTCACTCTCCCCGGAGGTAAGAGTGTGGGTCAAAGAGCACAACCCCAGCACAGGCCTGAAGGCCGCAGAGCTCGTGGATGGTTACCTGTCAGCCCGCCGCGGACCGAAGGACTTCAGATTCCAAGGCCCCAACAGAGCACCTCAACCGCCGAAGGGTAAGTCTGTGGGATATGGGAGTGGAGTTGGTCCTGGTCCGGGGAGTGGTACACAGAGTAGGGGCCCAAGCACTAGACATTACATGCCTCAACACCCCTCTCAGCCTAGACCTACTGACACATCCACAACACACAATACACCTGCTAACACACAGGCTGTATGTCATTATTGTGGTAAGCCAGGTCACTGGGCTAGAGTTTGTCCTCTGAAGAAGGTTAGGGGTGCTACTTGCAGTATGGTTTCTGTGCCTAGACCTATGACTGATGCTGTGTATGCTGACAGTGTGCCAGTAATGGGTGTGATTGTGAATGATAAACCGGCAAGGGCTCTCCTGGACACAGGCAGCACCCACACTTTGGTGCAACCTCACCTGGTTCAGCAGCCTGAAGCTTTGACTGGCGAGAAACTGCGAGTAGTGTGTGTGAATGGTGATGTCCATGAATACCCCATAGCACTTGTGTCTGTTAAAGTGCAAGATCAGATGTTCAGGTTAGAAGCCGGGGTTGTTAAAGGCTTGAATTATCCTGTGGTCTTAGGTCAGGATGTGGGGATTCTGCCAGACCTGGTGCAGGCTTCTCTCCCAATGAGTTGCGTTGCAACCAGGGCACAGGCTAAAAAGGCGCAGGAGTTGTTACGTGAAATGCCATACAGTGGAGAAGATTTTGGTTCCCCTGTAAAAATGAGAGACAGGAAGACACGCCGACAGCGTAGGCATGACAAACTAGTTGGCACAGTCAAAGTCATGTCTGGTGAAGAGCTAGCGGCAGTTCCTGATGCAGGGAAGGAGATGTGGCAAGTTCCTGATGATCTGAAAGAATTGCAAAACCAAGATGTTTCACTGAAGGAGCTGTTTGACCAAGTTGTTGAAGTGGATGGTGTGGGCACAGGCCAGGAAAAGACATTGCTGGGTGAATTTTACTTTGTGCGTGATGGCTTGCTGTATCATCAGCCTGAAGGTGGCAGTGCAGAGCAGCTAGTAATACCAACCTGTCTAAGACAGAAGATTTTGTGTTTGGGTCATGACATTCCTTGGTCGGCACATTTGGGAAGTGTGAAAACTTTGCAGAGGATTTCAGACAGATTCTTCTGGCCCGGGTTGTATACTGATGTGCAAAAACACTGCAAAACATGCCCCACATGCCAGCTTTACAGCAAACACAAAGTCAGGCCATATCCACTTCAGCCGTTGCCAGGTGTAGATGTCCCATTCACCCGAATAGGTATGGACATTGTAGGACCTTTAGAGCGCACACAATCAGGCCACCAGTACATTTTGGTAATCTGTGATTACGCCACACGTTATCCTGAAGTGTTTCCCTTACGCAAGGTTACGGCTAGAGCCATTGCCCCTGCACTATTACAGTTATTCTCAAGGGTGGGAATTCCCCGGGAAATACTGACGGATCAGGGAACAGCTTTCCTTTCAAACACCTTAAAGCAGGTTTATGGGTTGTTGGGTATTGGTGCGATCAGGACCACTCCCTACCATCCCCAGACAGATGGACTTGTTGAGAGGTACAATCAGACACTGAAAGGTATGCTGAGGAAATTTGTGTCTGCCAACGGCAAAGATTGGGACCGCTGGCTGCCGTACCTGATGTTTGCCTACCGTGAGGTACCTCAAGCATCCACGGGGTTCTCGCCGTTCGAACTCCTGTACGGCAGACATGTGCGCGGACCCCTTGACCTGCTGAAGGATGCCTGGGAGTCGCCCAAGGCCACCACCTCCAACGTGATCTCCTACGTCATTGCCATGAGGGACAGGATGGAGGAGATGGCCAGCCTCGTTCGAGACAACCTCCAGAGTGCCCAGGTGACCCAGACCACCTGGTACGACCGGAGTGCACGACAGAGAACCTTCCAGCCTGCCTGGCCAGAAAGTCCTCCTTCTCCTGCCCACTGAAGAGAATAAGTTGCTGGCGAGGTGGCAGGGTCCTTACAGCATCAGCAGACAGTTGGGGCCTACCACCTATGAGCTGGAGATGCCAGAGAGGAGGAAGAAGCGGCAAGCGTTCCACGTCAACCTCCTGAAAGAGTGGAATGAAAGGGAGGCACCACCTAGTCCACAGCTGTTGGTGCAGGCCGTGAAGGAAGAGGAGGACACCCCTGAGCAATTCTTCCCGACCGAACAGCCAGCTGGGACATTGGACTTGTCCCATCTAACCCGTCAGCAGCAGCAAGAGATACAGGCCATTGTTCCTGAAGGCCTGCTCAGTGACCAGCCGGGGTACACACCGGTGGCAGAGCACCCCATCCGTCTGAAAGACTCTACACCCGCCAGACAACGGATGTACAGAGTTCCAGAGCGCCTGTTACCTGCTCTCCGGGAGGAGCTTCAGGTCATGCAGAGACTGGGGGTGATTGAGCGTTCGGAGAGTGCCTAGAGCAGCCCAGTGGTCCTTGTGCCGAAGAAGGACGGCACAATGCGCTTCTGCATTGACTTCCGCCAGGTGAACGCTCAGTCACACTTCGACGCCTACCCCATGCCCCGACTTGAAGACCTCATCGAGCGTCTGGGAGGCGCCCAGTACATTACCACGCTGGACCTTAGCAAGGGGTACTGGCAGGTGCCCCTGGCAAAAGAAGCAAGACCCTACACCGCCTTCAGGACACCCCAGGGCCTCTTTCAATTCACGGTGATGCCCTTCGGCCTGCAGGGGGCGCCTGCAACATTCCAGCGCCTGATGGACCGGGTGCTGGACGGCACCGGCGCCTTCGCGGGTGCTTATCTTGATGACATCATCATCTACAGCAGCAGTTGGGCGGAGCATGTGCAGCACCTGGCCGAGGTGTTGCACCGCATTCACCAAGCGGGGTTGACCATCCAGCCCAACAAGTGTGCCTTTGTTCAGCAAGAGGTGCGCTACCTGGGGCACATTGTTGGACGCAGAGTCATCAAGCCTCAACAAGACAAGCTCCAGGCAATCCCGGACTGCCCGCGGCCAGAGACCAAGAAGGGGGTCCGCTCTTTCTTGGGGCTCGCAGGGTGGTACCGGAGGTTCGTCCCCAACTTTGCCACCAGAGCAGCCCCTCTCACCAATCTCACCAGGAAGTCTGGCTCAGTCCGAGTCAGGTGGGAGGACCAGCATGAAACGGCCTTCAACGACCTGAAGGAGGCCCTCTGCAGCGGGCCAGTACTGCAGAGTCCAGACTTCAAGCAGCCGATGACCGTCCAGACTGACGCCTCCGGTGTTGGTCTGGGGGCCGTGCTCCTTCAAGGTGAAGGAGATCAGCAGCGACCTGTGGCTTACATAAGCCGCAAACTTTTTCCAAGAGAGACAAGGTACTCTGCTGTTGAATTGGAGTGCCTTGCTGTGAAATGGGCCCTGGACTCCTTTCGTTACTATCTCTTGGGTCGACAGTTTGTTTTAGAGACTGACCACCGGGCCTTGAAGTGGCTCGGGCAGATGAAAGACACAAATACCCGCATCACCCGTTGGTTTTTGGCCTTGCAGCCATACAGTTTCCAGGTCCGCTATCGGGCGGGCACGCAGAATGCAGTGGCGGATTATCTGTCTCGCCACCCAAGTGGCGAGCCTCCAGAGGAAGGGGGAAATGTGAAAAGGCAGCCCTCCCTTTTCACAAATGCCACAGAACAGCACGCTACAATGTAGCTGGCTAACGTCACACACACCTGCACACACCTCCATACACAAGCGCGCACACACGAATCTGAGACTTTCACTCGCGGAGCCGGCAACCGCATATGAGAGCTCTTTGTCACGCCAACACTCCAAAAACTTTCAGTACTTACCTGAGTGACCAGCCATCGCAGCGTTCGGTGAGGTACCCGCCGATATCGCTCCATAATCCCATACCGCTCCAGTTTCCACACATTGCACACACAAACACAAACGCGCACACACACTTCCTAGTCCGACAACTTCTCCTCCCCTGGGAAACACGAACTGTGGGTAGGGGAATAATTTATGTCTCATTCAGCCAATCAGAGGCTTTGATTACCTGACGGGGTGAAACTGAGTGTTTGATGCATTTAAAATGCTATTTTTAGGTGTAATGTTGATGTAATGAGAAATGTGTTTTATTGAATGTATGCATACAGTAATGTGGTTAATGTAGATTGCTTAGGCATGTAATTTAACAGTGAAAATGAAGTAGTGCATTGTTTCAGCTGTACCTTTTTTTTCTTGCATAGTGGTCTCATCCAATCAGTCAGTGATTTAGTCCAGTAGGCATGCAATTTGCCAATTATGTCTGTTTGTATAAAAACCCTACTTTTTCCTCAGTTTGTGGGTTGGATGCTAGGAGAAAGGTTGGTGCCTGAGACTGTCGCGTTCAAAAGAGGTATTGCTCTCTGTGCTTAGATTTATTATTAGTTATTATTTTGAACAACCATCGTGTTGATTTTGTTTATGTTTTGGAAAGTCTTTTTGTTACTGCACTTTTTGGTTAGAGCACTGTAAATAAATATACACCACGTCATTTGCACTGGACCTCCTTGTTGAGTGCTTTCATTCCATTTGGGTGGCCATCCTGCAGTGAAACCTGAGCCAGAGGGCTCACCAGTTTCACACCCTGCCTGAATCTTTTCACATGTGGTCATGTTTTGCCAAACCCCAATGTATTTGGTGTAAGGTAAACCTTCACAAAATTGTTAAACAAAAGGAGAAAAAAAAAAAACAATGGTTTGCAGATGAGGGAAGATGGGGATCGGATTAATAATATTAGTAATCGAACAGTGTCCATTTAAACACTTGTTCATCATGTCATTCAGATTTGGCCAACTATCCCCGCAGACCAGCAGCATGTGTAGCTGCATCTACAGCTTAATTAGGAAGTCCAGTCACGTCTCAACTGAGGCTGCAACTAACAATTAGTTTGCAAATTGATTACCCCTGTCAATTATTCCATAAAGAAGAGGTTTTACAAACTTAAACCAGGTGAAAATAAAAACTTTTCACTTCAGTTCTGGATTTTAATCTTTAATCCAAGATATTAATATATATTATTTTGCAATTTTGATATAATTACTGCTCTAAGTGGGTTGTTCGCTCAGCTAAAGGCATGTTTTAGAGTCTCTATACTCCAGTTAACATTTAATTGATGCCTAAAACAGTTAACGATTATTTCAATAACTGATTAATCATGATTTATCTGATTAATCCGATTGTTTCAGCTCTAGTCTCAACCAATCTTGCCTACATTTATGTGTGGCAGAATGGATACACTTTTTTTGGTAGAATAGACCACCGTGTGCAGGTCAAAGCTGCTGTTCTCAATAATGCTGCTGCGGGTCAAAAAATATCCTGATTGATTTAACTGATTTTTTTATTCCCCTGAAACGATGTATTTACTATATACTTTTCAATTTTAATGTGAAAAAAATGTGTATCGTATCAAGGAAATAAAGTCCACATGTGCAGTTAACTAGTGACTGACCCATATTGCAAAGAAAATGAAACTTAAATTTCTAAATGTACAAACCTGCTAAGAAATAGACGGCTATAGCCGTATTTGACAGCTGCAGGGGAGCTGATTTAAAAAAAAAAAAAAAAAAAAAAAAAAAAAAAAATGCAAACCATATTTTCTGTTTATTTGTGAGGGTTAAAAAAAAATCTGCAAACCAACAATCATTTAATTTCCACTGGACAGTTGGACGTTTAATCTGTTCCAAAGAATGAATGTTGTCTTCTAAAATGTGGAGGTTTAACCAGGTGGTTTGGTATGAGTGTCTTACTCTGCTTTTTAAATGTTCTAAAAAAAAAAAAAATGACCTGTTTTTTTTCTTTCCCTCAGGGGGTCGATGATGCTTTTTACACATTAGTCCGAGAAATCCGAAAGCATAAGGAGAAGATGAGCAAGGAGGGCAAAAAGAAGAAAAAGAAGTCCAAGACAAAGTGTATACTCATGTGAATAATCACCCCCCCCCTTTTTTTTTTTCAAGACAGACTAAAAAAAACAAAACTATGTTGAACAGTTCAAAGTAATAACATTTTGTACAGTACACTAAATTATTAGCCTTTGTATTTGTTAGAGCCTTCCTTAATAAATACTAAATCCAAGCTGATTCTTTTATTCGGACATGGATAAGCTTCATTTTCAGTGTAGTGCCAGATGCTGACCTGCAAGAACCAGATTAGCCAGAATTTTTTCTTTCTTTCTAATTCTAGAAAAACATGTTTGACATGTCTGCCCAACCAGGAGGAGACTGTATTACCAATAGCATTTAACAAAACATCTATTCTGATTCACTTGTTCTTGCTGAAATGCAACCACCTGGGTTTTATGGGATGCCAAAGAATGAAAACTCCTCCCGTTTGTGTGGAAAAAGCAGATGAAGGCTCAGCTCTCAGCCTAGTGAGGTCTAAATGTCCCAGCCACTGTGGAATTTCCCCATCAGTTCATTTTCACTGATAGTATGCACTCGGACTCCTAAGTACAAAAATAGAAAAATATAAATTTTTTCTTTTTCTCCATGTGTTTAATACCCTAGTTAGCCATTAATTAATTTGAAATTTGTCATTGCTTTGTATTTTGTGGGGAGTGATTTCATGCCTAAATTAGAAATTGTTTTATATATATTTTTTTCTCCCCCCCTCTTGCATGCATTGTGTCTATAGTGATACGGGGATTACAAACTGCCTCTGGTTGATGCTTTTAGGAGTCAGCAATGAGGAACTCAGACTCTAATTTTCAGGTTTTTAATGAAAAGTGTTCAATAATTGCTTTTGTCAAAATAAAGTCATTTCTGTAATAAAAAGTTAAAGAGATCATTATGATTTTTGACCAATAATGTCTGTCTTACGTCAAAGAAATTTAAGTTTTGTTTAAAAAGATCCTTACAATAGAAATAAAATTTTTTTTTTTAATTCTAGTTGTAAACTGTTTATGCGCCAAGCAAAAGTTTTTGCCGTTTGAAGTCCATTTCCTAGCATAGTAGAAACTTATTTTGAAAGCTGTAAAAGGAATTTGGCTCCATTCGTATTCCCAGAGTTAAAAACAGTTTTTAGGAGAGGCGTTTAAAATTGGACGCCTCTGCATAATTGGAATGAATGTTTTTTAAATGAGGCACAAATTTCCGTGAAATAGGTTTTTAAATGGCAATGTCCGACTTAATCTAAACAATGAATCCTAGTTTCTCTCAGGTCAGCCCATGTCGCATTCTTCATATATACGGACAGCATTTTTATTTGCCTTTTTTTTTGTGACTTTAGGTGCTAGGTTTAGACATTTGTTTTGTCATCCATTGTACCTAAGAAATGCACAAATTACAGTTTAAGGATGAAATGCTATTGTCACAGAAATTTGGGATTTTACTTTTGGGATTAATGAATTTTGACCCAACCATATTATTTCTTCTTTTTCCATGAAGTAGGTTAATACCTGTTGATGCAATTTTAGTAATGAGATCCTCTTGATAAGGATATATTTTAGTTTTACTGTAATGTTTTAAGATGTTCTTCTTTTATTGGGTGCCAACGGCTGATTTCTCAAATGTATCATTTATACCTGGATCGTATTTTAACAAACTTTGTATAGTTGTGATACCGAAAGGTTTCATGTTTTGTAAATTGTGCTTCGTTTGGTGTGTCTTTAATGAATGTTGCTTTAATGGAGTTCTGCTCCGCTCTGTGTTTGACTGGAGAGTGTGTCTGGGTGCAGGTCTGCAGAGGGGAATGAATGACCACTTTACAGTGTAGCTGTTTGTGGGGTAGAGTGGTGATCTGATCTCAAAAATGTCTTCTTTTTTTTGCCATGAATCTTACCACCCCTATTTAATGTGTAATAAAGAACAAAGTAAACAAAAGCTGGGCTTCTTCATTTCTTAACCCTTTTGGATGCATTTAAAATTTACAACCCATACAGCTTTTTCAGAGGTACAAAGAACAATATATGATTTTGTCCTTTCTTCTTTCACATATCCATCCATCCTTCCTTCCTAGTGCCTTGTCTTTTCTTCCTGACTCCATATTTAGATTTTGCCCACTGCAGGAGAAGGAGGGGAGGATGTGAACCTGCTAAAAATTACATTTTGTAAAAATTTTATATTAGGGACTCTGGAAAGTTAGATCTACAAAAGTAAGAAACTTTACAGGAAGAATATTGTGAAACTGGAAACATCCCTTAAATATAAAGATATTTTCTCTTTAACAGGATAAATGTTCTTAATTTGCATCAGTTTTTTTCAGTTAGAATTCTATTACAGTAAATAAGCTTTTTTATACCAAATTATTTTGTATTTATTTCCCTTAATTTTTTCTGCTAATGGTAGATTATAATAAAAATTTATAATTTTTATTGCATTATTGTTAGGTTCAAAGCAGAAATATGACTTATATACATAGTGTATACAATTTATATATATCATGAATCTGGCAGTCTTGGGAAATTGCATTCCATATTTATTGTATCTGCTAAAAATATAAACAAAACATTAACATTGGCAAATACAGCCAGCATAGATGCAACAGAGTATTCAGGTTTACCTTGTCAAAAACATTTGAAATTGTTAGTGCAACAAGCAGCTGCATATACCTTTTGTTTGAAGATGTGTTTCTTTATTTTTTTATTCCAGCTCCTATCTTTCCTGTCCAGTAGGTGGTGCTGCTTAACCACATCTGTAAGAAATCACAACATAGTGATGGTTCTAAATTTCCCTAAAACAAACCTGTGCAAATATGTTTAATGTATAGGTTTAAAGCAAAGGCTTGTGAATTAAAATGAGGTATGTTGATTAAAAGTGTCCCCCCTTAGTTCCTATGTTAAAGTTGCTCAGTTGTTGGACTATGAAGGTCAAATTTTAAAATCCTAGCATTTCTGTGATAATATTTAACAGGATAACATGTTCCTTGTTACGATGTAATATATAAGTGTCCTTTTCAGCAGTATGCCAAGTAAATGAATGGATGCAATCATTTATTGTCCTTAAGAGGGTTAGAAACTCTTTGAAATATTTATTTTTAGTATAGAAATTTAGAACTGTGACAAAAACGTTTTTTTTTTGCAAAGAGAGCTCATCAGTGTCCGCCCAGCTTGTGTCATAATCCTTTCAATCAATATTTTTTACTTTAGTTTCTGATGAGTAAAATTTTCCATAGAATATTCTAAAAATACTCAACCTCTAGGAAAGAATATACCGTAATCGAATAATACAGATTTATTTGTACAGTGATGGATATGGAATTAAATGAATTGAAGTACAGAATTAGAAATTTAGAAATAGAGCTTGCTTCCAAATATCTTCCCAAGACAAGTTTCTTTCTGTCGCAAATTTCTCTCACAAGATATTTCAAAATGCTCTACAGAAAAGTTTGACTACAAACTTTACCTTAGAATGTTTCAGTTAAGTGTATTTCACAATTTTCAACATTGGCATTTTTTGAAAATTATGAACCTCTACCCACCCCAAAGAAGATACAACAAAATGTTGATCTTTATGCATCCCAGTTTTATAGTCCAGGATGAAGCACATATGTGGCTGTATTAAGGTAAGGTTTCTGTAGCTGAAACATCATTTAAACATTCCCCCCTCTGTATGTTTTTCCCACTTGTGAAAGGCTATTCTAAACAAATCGGTAACTAAAAGCAACTTTTAGTGCATTTACAGTTTTCTTGGAGTTTGGTCCAGATTAGTAGAGCATAAGAACCATTAAGCTGCTTCTCCATGTTTGATTGTGGGTATGTAGAGCAGACTTGAAAGTTCCGGGCACTGATTCATAGACTAATAGAAATATTTTAAACTTTATTATCTGAAATACTGTGAGCCATTTTAAGATCTTTATAATTGGGATGGTCATCTAAACTTAGTTTTAGTAAGGATCAGGATCTACTGCAGAAGACTGATATTGACTTTTTAGTAGTGTTGTGATACCTGGCTGTGCAGTATTGGCCGATGCCGATACCATCTGTTTGAAAATGATGTGTGTGTGTATATATGAAGAGCTGCTTACTACTTGGATGTAAAATAATTGCCATCATAGCTTTGTCAAGCTGCTGCCTACCTTTGTGAAACCGGAAAAAGACAAATACAAAGTGAATCAAGTAGAACATTTTATTGCCTGCCTGGAATGGGTGACAATATCTAAATAAACCTTTGGCTCTATAAATGGTATCAGTAGCCTATTTGTTGGTATTTGCCAATAACGATACCACCATTTAGTGCTGGATCAGGGCCCTGCCCGATACTGGTATCGGTATCGGTGCAACACTACTTTTTAGGCAGACCTGTGAAGATACCACTCTGCCTAATAACTTTTTTTCTATTCCTCATACTTATCTAGACTTTTCCAGACTGCATATGGGAACATTTATTATTCACTTTCCATCACAGCTTTAAAAACAACTCTAAAGTAGAAAATAGAGTAAAGAGTTTTGAGCCAAATGATATAAAATGCCACAAGATGTATCCCGTGTACCATTAGCCTTGTTCTGTAGTGAGAACTCGATTCAGATATTCAATAAAACATATCACATTTTGTCAGAGTTATTAGAAGCCATTACTCGATGGCTGCAGAGCCACAGGTTGCCGCCCCCTGGCCTAAACTCTTCAGAGCATCACAGCAAAGTGGTGCTTAGCCATGTTGTCTCCTCTCTCCTGAATCCTCTCTTAGTTTAGAGTTTGCATGGTCTATATGAGTGTTCCACAGGTGCTTTTCTCTTATTATCCAAATACCAGGAATATTTTTACACCAGGGGTAGTGAAAATCCAAACATCCATTATCTGTAGCAGCTTATCCTTGCAGGGTCATGAGGGCAATCATTCAAAAAAAGGTGGGGCACATCCTAGACTGCTGACAGTTTTTAACATATAATGAGCAGAAACTTAAAAATGCCAACAATAGAAACTTAATATTCTGCAGTATTTTGGTTTATGCAAATACATTGTAAAGGGCAATAAACAGATAATAAAACAGCTCCTTAAAAGCATTTATACCCTGCACTAAAGTTGATTTCCCATTATAAATACAAACATTAATTGTATTTATGTGACAGAACAACAACGAAAAAAAAAATACCTTGACTGTTTTTGGAATGAGAAGAGAAGATTACTGTGCATGATTTTAAAATCAATTTGATTTTAATTCTCTAAATAAAATCTAAAAGGCCTACATCAAACAAAATAAACATGATTGGCCATCACCATTTCACATAGGACAGTGATTACCTTCCCCCTTCAGGAAGCAACAAGCTTTACCGTGCCGTGGCTGCTCAGTAAACAAAACCCCACTTTCTCCCATCGGTGAGTGCTGCTGATGTGATGGAGAACACCTCAAAATGCAGATCATCTCTGCCGCTGGGACAAAATGGCTGTTTTAGCTCCTAATCCGCAGAGTTTCAATAAATGCTCTGTTTTTGCTATAAATACTGCCTAATGTCATGAAATGTTTTCTGTTGCAGGGGGTCTCAGACTTTTCTGAGGAAGGGCTCTAATCACCCGAAGTGACGTTATACCATACTGCAGCTGCTCAAGGAAGATGTTATGAAATGGCCTTTATTTAGTTTTAACATAAATCCAGCTGTTTAGTGAAACCTTCAGAGGCTTGCTACAGAACTTCACTGAAAACATCATAAGGATAAAGAAATACAATAGATATGTCAGCAGGGTTAATTCATATTACAAACCCAGAATCTCAAGGGACCTTCTCCAATAATCACCTGAAAATTCAAAGAGCAATGCACAACTGCAGATGGTTACTACCTAACTAAAGCAAAAGGTGTTGCAGAGGATAAAGGTGGTCTATAATAACTTTGAAAATGCTGGTGATATCTTTAATTCATGTGGGAGAAGCAGTACCGATCTGGCTTTTATGGAAACGTGGAAGAAGAAACCCATTGTTGCAAGAAAGCCAAAAATAAAGTCCAGTAAAAAGTTAGCCACCGCCTGCAGTCTATATAACAGACAAACATGCACAATAAGGTGCTTCCATCAGAGGAGTCCCAAACTTAATATATATATATATTTTTTTTACCTTAAAACTGGCCCAGCCACGCTCCACAGCTCATCAACAGCTCAGCTGTAGAGATGGTGCTGCTGACCACCTCTACAGCTGTTAAGTGGATCCTGGGGGTGATCATCACAGACAATCCTCACCTGGCTGTAAACACCACCTCACTGGTCAAAAGGGCACAAAAGTGCATGTACTTCTTGCGGAGGATGAGGAGACCCTACCTGCCCCCACCCATCCTCACCACCTTCTACAGAAGCACCATAGAGAGCGTGTCTCACTGTGTGATGTGGAGGCTGCAGCACCGAAGACTGGAAGAAAGAAAGAAGAGAAGTGAGAACGTCAGAGAGGATCATTGGGGCTCCACTTCCCGCCATAAAAGACATTTCATCCCAGCGCTGTGTGTCCCGAGCCCGTAACATCGTCCACACCCCCACCATGGACTGTTCTCCCTGCTGCCCTCTGGCAAGAGGCTTCACAGCAACCGTTGCAGGTCCAGCAGATTATGCAAGAGTTTCTTCCCCACTGTCATCAGACTGCTGATCTGTTGAATAAACGCTAAATTATGTCACAGACTCTGCATCACACTGATAACAAAAAAATACTGCATATTTGCACCATATATATTGATGCTCTGAAGATCCATATCAGTGTGTTTTGTTGTACCATGTTTTTTCTCCCACACTGTTTACATTTGATCACTGCTGCACTTTATGGAATGGAAATGTTCATTCACTGTCTGAAAAGTTGTACTTAATGAATTGTCTTTTTGTATACACAGAGTGTATACAAAATGACAATAAAAGTTGTCTAAGTCTAAATACTATCCGTTTAGAGATAGACCCAAAACACACTGTCCTAA